TGGCACGGCACGCATGGCACGGCACGCATGGCACGGCACGCCTGGCACGGCACGCATGGCACGGCACGCATGGCACGGCACGCATGGCACGGCACGCATGGCACGGCACGCATGGCACGGCACGCATGGCACGGCACGCATGGCACGGCACGCATGGCACGGCACGCATGGCACGGCACGCATGGCACGGCACGCATGGCACGGCACGCATGGCACGGCACGCATGGCACGGCACGCATGGCACGGCACGCATGGCACGGCACGCATGGCACGGCACGCATGGCACGGCACGCATGGCACGGCACGCATGGCACGGCACGCATGGCACGGCACGCATGGCACGGCACGCATGGCACGGCACGCATGGCACGGCACGCATGGCACGGCACGCATGGCACGGCACGCATGGCACGGCACGCATGGCACGGCACGCATGGCACGGCACGCATGGCACGGCACGCATGGCACGGCACGCATGGCACGGCACGCATGGCACGGCACGCATGGCACGGCACGCATGGCACGGCACGCATGGCACGGCACGCATGGCACGGCACGCATGGCACGGCACGCATGGCACGGCACGCATGGCACGGCACGCATGGCACGGCACGCATGGCACGGCACGCATGGCACGGCACGCATGGCACGGCACGCATGGCACGGCACGCATGGCACGGCACGCATGGCACGGCACGCATGGCACGGCACGCATGGCACGGCACGCATGGCACGGCACGCATGGCACGGCACGCATGGCACGGCACGCATGGCACGGCACGCATGGCACGGCACGCATGGCACGGCACGCATGGCACGGCACGCATGGCACGGCACGCATGGCACGGCACGCATGGCACGGCACGCATGGCACGGCACGCATGGCACGGCACGCATGGCACGGCACGCATGGCACGGCACGCATGGCACGGCACGCATGGCACGGCACGCATGGCACGGCACGCATGGCACGGCACGCATGGCACGGCACGCATGGCACGGCACGCATGGCACGGCACGCATGGCACGGCACGCATGGCACGGCACGCATGGCACGGCACGCATGGCACGGCACGCATGGCACGGCACGCATGGCACGGCACGCATGGCACGGCACGCATGGCACGGCACGCATGGCACGGCACGCATGGCACGGCACGCATGGCACGGCACGCATGGCCACGCGCACGCATGGCACGGCACGCATGGCACGGCACGCATGGCACGGCACGCATGCACGGCACGCATGGCACGGCACGCATGCACGGCACGCATGGCACGGCACGCATGGCACGGCACGCATGGCACGGCACGCATGGCACGGCACGCATGGCACGGCACGCATGGCACGGCACGCATGGCACGGCACGCATGGCACGGCACGCATGGCACGGCACGCATGGCACGGCACGCATGGCACGGCACGCATGGCACGGCACGCATGGCACGGCACGCATGGCACGGCACGCCATGGCACGGCACGCATGGCACGGCACGCATGGCACGGCACGCATGGCACGGCACGCATGGCACGGCACGCATGGCACGGCAACGCATGGCACGGCACGCATGGCACGGCACGCATGGCACGGCACGCATGGCACGGCACGCATGGCACGGCACGCATGGCACGGCACGCATGGCACGGCACGCATGGCACGGCACGCATGGCACGGCACGCATGGCACGGCACGCATGGCACGGCACGCATGGCACGGCACGCATGGCACGGCACGCATGGCACGGCACGCATGGCACGGCACGCATGGCACGGCACGCATGGCACGGCACGCATGGCACGGCACGCATGGCACGGCACGCATGGCACGGCACGCATGGCACGGCACGCATGGCACGGCACGCATGGCACGGCACGCATGGCACGGCACGCATGGCACGGCACGCATGGCACGGCACGCATGGCACGGCACGCATGGCACGGCACGCATGGCACGGCACGCATGGCACGGCACGCATGGCACGGCACGCATGGCACGGCACGCATGGCACGGCACGCATGGCACGGCACGCATGGCACGGCACGCATGGCACGGCACGCATGGCACGGCACGCATGGCACGGCACGCATGGCACGGCACGCATGGCACGGCACGCATGGCACGGCACGCATGGCACGGCACGCATGGCACGGCACGCATGGCACGGCACGCATGGCACGGCACGCATGGCCACGGCACGCATGGCACGGCACGCATGGCACGGCACGCATGCACGGCACGCATGGCACGGCACGCATGGCACGGCACGCATGGCACGGCACGCATGGCACGGCACGCATGGCACGGCACGCATGGCACGGCACGCATGGCACGGCACGCATGGCACGGCACGCATGGCACGGCACGCATGGCACGGCACGCATGGCACGGCACGCATGGCACGGCACGCATGGCACGGCACGCATGGCACGGCACGCATGGCACGGCACGCATGGCACGGCACGCATGGCACGGCACGCATGGCACGGCACGCATGGCACGGCACGCATGGCACGGCACGCATGGCACGGCACGCATGGCACGGCACGCATGGCACGGCACGCATGGCACGGCACGCATGGCACGGCACGCATGGCACGGCACGCATGGCACGGCACGCATGGCACGGCACGCATGGCACGGCACGCATGGCACGGCCACGCATGGCACGGCACGCATGGCACGGCACGCATGGCACGGCACGCATGGCACGGCACGCATGGCACGGCACGCATGGCACGGCACGCATGGCACGGCACGCATGGCACGGCACGCATGGCACGGCACGCATGGCACGGCACGCATGGCACGGCACGCATGGCACGGCACGCATGGCACGGCACGCATGGCACGGCACGCATGGCACGGCACGCATGGCACGGCACGCATGGCACGGCACGCATGGCACGGCACGCATGGCACGGCACGCATGGCACGGCACGCATGGCACGGCACGCATGGCACGGCACGCATGGCACGGCACGCATGGCACGGCACGCATGGCACGGCACGCATGGCACGGCACGCATGGCACGGCACGCATGGCACGGCACGCATGGCACGGCACGCATGGCACGGCACGCATGGCACGGCACGCATGGCACGGCACGCATGGCACGGCACGCATGGCACGGCACGCATGGCACGGCACGCATGGCACGGCACGCATGGCACGGCACGCATGGCACGGCACGCATGGCACGGCACGCATGGCACGGCACGCATGGCACGGCACGCATGGCACGGCACGCATGGCACGGCACGCATGGCACGGCACGCATGGCACGGCACGCATGGCACGGCACGCATGGCACGGCACGCATGGCACGGCACGCATGGCACGGCACGCATGGCACGGCACGCATGGCACGGCACGCATGGCACGGCACGCATGGCACGGCACGCATGGCACGGCACGCATGGCACGGCACGCATGGCACGGCACGCATGGCACGGCACGCATGGCACGGCACGCATGGCACGGCACGCATGGCACGGCACGCATGGCACGGCACGCATGGCACGGCACGCATGGCACGGCACGCATGGCACGGCACGCATGGCACGGCACGCATGGCACGGCACGCATGGCACGGCACGCATGGCACGGCACGCATGGCACGGCACGCATGGCACGGCACGCATGGCACGGCACGCATGGCACGGCACGCATGGCACGGCACGCATGGCACGGCACGCATGGCACGGCACGCATGGCACGGCACGCATGGCACGGCACGCATGGCACGGCACGCATGGCACGGCACGCATGGCACGGCACGCATGGCACGGCACGCATGGCACGGCACGCATGGCACGGCACGCATGGCACGGCACGCATGGCACGGCACGCATGGCACGGCACGCATGGCACGGCACGCATGGCACGGCACGCATGGCACGGCACGCATGGCACGGCACGCATGGCACGGCACGCATGGCACGGCACGCATGGCACGGCACGCATGGCACGGCACGCATGGCACGGCACGCATGGCACGGCACGCATGGCACGGCACGCATGGCACGGCACGCATGGCACGGCACGCATGGCACGGCACGCATGGCACGGCACGCATGGCACGGCACGCATGGCACGGCACGCATGGCACGGCACGCATGGCACGGCACGCATGGCACGGCACGCATGGCACGGCACGCATGGCACGGCACGCATGGCACGGCACGCATGGCACGGCACGCATGGCACGGCACGCATGGCACGGCACGCATGGCACGGCACGCATGGCACGGCACGCATGGCACGGCACGCATGGCACGGCACGCATGGCACGGCACGCATGGCACGGCACGCATGGCACGGCACGCATGGCACGGCACGCATGGCACGGCACGCATGGCACGGCACGCATGGCACGGCACGCATGGCACGGCACGCATGGCACGGCACGCATGGCACGGCACGCATGGCACGGCACGCATGGCACGGCACGCATGGCACGGCACGCATGGCACGGCACGCATGGCACGGCACGCATGGCACGGCACGCATGGCACGGCACGCATGGCACGGCACGCATGGCACGGCACGCATGGCACGGCACGCATGGCACGGCACGCATGGCACGGCACGCATGGCACGGCACGCATGGCACGGCACGCATGGCACGGCACGCATGGCACGGCACGCATGGCACGGCACGCATGGCACGGCACGCATGGCACGGCACGCATGGCACGGCACGCATGGCACGGCACGCATGGCACGGCACGCATGGCACGGCACGCATGGCACGGCACGCATGGCATGTCACCTCGAAGACCTGAAAAGGCTTCTTTAAGTACCTGAAAATGCCCATCTGGGAAGGCGGGTCTTGCCTCTGCTGGGGAGGCAGCAGCGACAGCACCGGGCACTGCTCCCGTCAGCCCGGCCCCTCCTCCTGCTGCTGGCAGGGCGGCACCGGGGAACCCCGGGATAGCCGGCATGCCTGGCCTGGCTCTTGAGCATCTAAGATTGCACAGCAGGAAGGCGGGTCTTACCTCTGCTGGGGAGGCAGCAGCGACAGCGCCAGGCACTGCTCCCATCAGCCCGGCCCCTCCTGCTGCTGCGGGCAGTGCAGCCCCAGGGAAACCCGGGATAGCCGGCATGCCTGGAATGCCGCTTGGGAAGGCGGGTGCTGCTGGTGAGGCAGAAGTTGGGGCGTGGGAGGCTGAGGCCCACCCGACCTGGGTGAAAAGAAGGAAGGGGGTGTGGAGTGAGTGGGAAGGAAAGCAGGTGAGGAGGTAGAAGGCAGGTGAGAAACCATCATTGACTGGTGAGGCAGCTGTTGGGAGCGTAAAGCCCATGCCGTGCCAAGCTATGCCATTTCATGCCCTTTCAATGCAATGTGAGCAGAGCAACCACCCATTTGAGCAGTCTGCCGCCCATCAGAGCAGTCTGCCGCCCATCAGAGCAGTCTGCTGCCCGCCTTTCGGGGTTCCCACCCACCTTGAGCTGTCTGCCACCCACCTTAAGCTGTCTGCCGCCCAGCTGGAACCCGTTCATGCACTGGATGGCGCCCTTGGCTGCTTCCTCTGTCTCAAACCTGCAGGGAAGGCGAAAAGGAGGGAGGAAGGGAAGAAGCGAAAGGGGGAAGGGGAGGGGGGGCGAGAGAGGATGACACCAACAAATTAAAACGATAAATGTGTTGGAAAATGGATTCTTGAAAAAGTATGTGAAAGCCGCATAAGCAGTGCACAGATATTTCAGAAAGATGGAATTGACACAACATTGCTTCACAAGGGCTTAAAACTCGATAGCATGAATCTACACTTGCGGATGAAGCACAAAAAACACACACAAACAGACACATTTGCACCGGGAAACAAACAAATAAGTGGGAATGCAAGGAACCAAGAAACGGGGAAGGCAGGGAAAGAGGCAGGACGAGCAAGAACGATCAACTCACTCAACAAAACCGTAGCCCTTGTGCTTGCCCGTGTCCGGGTTGGGAATGAGCTGGCATGACTGCAGTTGGAATGATCGGATAGGGAAAGAGCAAAGAGGCAGAGTGAGCAGAAGCATTAGGTTCAATGAAGGCAGAGGGAACATGGGGAAGGGGGGGCAGCAGGATACAAGGAAGAAACGATGGGGGGCAGCAGGATACAAGGAAGAAACGATGGGGGGCAGCAGGATACAAGGAAGAAACGATGGGGGGCAGCAGGATACAAGGAAGAAACGATGGGGGGCAGCAGGATACGAGGAAGAAACGTGAGAAACTGCCGGGGGGCCGGGAGGGTTGGTAAGGATGGGCCGTTGGTACGGATGGGCCGTTGGTACGGATGGGCCGTTGGTACGGATGGGCCGTTGGTACGGATGGGCCGTTGGTACGGATGGGCCGTTGGTACGGATGGGCCGTTGGTACGGATGGGCCGTTGGTACGGATGGGCCGTTGGTACGGATGGGCCGTTGGTACGGATTTCAATGCAACAATGACTTGCCTTGCCTTAGCACGATATAGTTTAAGTTGATGGACATAAGACCTCCGCAGCCCACCTGTTTAACACTGACAGCACCTTGCCTTGCCTTAGCACAACATTGTACCTTGATGGGTCCAAAGGCCTGGAAGATGGCCATGATGTCGGGCTCTGCAAGGTCGTAGACAATGGAGCCCACATACACCCTCGTGTTCACCGCTGGCTTCTGTGGCACCTCTGCCACTCCTGGCACCTTCTGGTTGATGCTGCTAGCGATCACCTGTGAGGAGATAGGCAGATATGGGGCAGTCGACAGTAGGCAGCCTAATTTTGAGTCGACTCAAAAGAATCTCCGCCACTCCTGGCAATGGACAGTAGGCAGTCTAATTTTGACCATGACCTTCTGGTTGATGCTGCTAGCGATCACCTGTGAGGAAATAGGCAGATATGGGGCAGTCGACAGTGGGCAGTCCAATATGGGGCAGTGAACAGTGAGCTGTGGGCCAGGCAAAAAAGGTCATGCTCCCAGGCCAGGAAACAGCCTAGGAAGAATCATAGAGCCACACCTGACCGTCAAACCAACTAAAAGCCCACCAAAACCCCAACCAACCCACCTGAATGGCACCCGAAACCTCAACCCACCTGAAACGCCACCTGAACTTGCAATGCGAGCTCACCTGCGCCTGGAGCTTGGCGGTGGCTAGCAGGTTGGGGTTGGGTGCCGCCAATGCAGCTTGGTTGAATGCGAGAGCTGGTGCCAGTCAGAGAGAGAGGCACAGGGGCAGAGGGGCGAGAGAGAGGGGCAGAGGGGCGGAGAGAGAGGAAACGAGGGGTAGCGGGGCGAAGGGAGAGGGGCAGAGAGGGAGAGGGCGGCAGAGGAGGCATATGAATGAGAAGGGCACATGGCTGCATGCAAGAAAGGCGACAACGTGCGGTCCCAATGAAAGAAAGACACATTAGAGGAGATGAGTGGCCAATAGAATTAGGGGAAGGGAAAGGGAGACAGCTTCTGAGGCGCCTCAAAAGACATTCAGAGGGATCAGTGGCAGAGCGAGAGGGGGGTGGGTGGGTGGGTGGGTGGAGGGAGGGAAGTGGAAACATAGATGATGAGAGGAAGGACACCGGTTGAGGGAGCAGGTTGAGGAGTCATGGTTGGGGGATTCGGGACAGGGCACCGGTTGGGGGATTCGGGACAGGGCACTCACGGTTGGGGGCTTCGGGACAGGGCACTCACGGTTGGGGGATTCGGGACAGGGCACTCACGGTTGGGGGATTCGGGACAGGCCACTCACGGTTGGGGGATTCGGGACAGGGCACTCACGGTTGGGGGCTTCGGGACAGGGCACTCACGGTTGGGGGATTCGGGACAGGCCACTCACGGTTGGGGGATTCGGGACAGGGCACTCACGGTTGGGGGATTCGGGACAGGGCACTCACGGTTGGCAATGGTCTGAGCAGCAGGCGAAGGGGAAGCAATGTTGTTGGGGCGACCGACCTTGATGCGCCTGATGCATGGGTGTGGTGGGGAAAGGAGGGGAGGGGGAAGCGGGAGGGGGAGGGGGAAGGGGGAGGGGGAGGGGGAAGGGGGAGGGGGGGAGGGGGAGGGGGAAGCGGGAGGTAAGGACAAGAGCGGAGTGGTGAGGGAGGGACGGAGAGGGGGAGAGGGGAAAGAAAGGCGGGCCCGGGAGAAAAGGGGAGGAACTTAGGGCAGGAGGGAACATGAAGGGAGACGAAGATAAGCTGAACATATGAGAGAATCCTTTTGAGAAAAACGAGAGGGACAAGGGGGAAGAAAAACAAAGAGCTGAGACAAAGGCAATAATCGGGATGGGAGGGGAGGATATCACAAGACGTGATGGGAGAGGAGACGCCAAGCTAGAAGACGCAGATGCGTGAAGCAACAACAAGGGATAAAGAGTGCTAAAAATCACCCAATTGTTTTTTCGTTTGCTCCAAAACGTAAGAAAGCACATGTTCCAGGAAAGGACGAGCTTTGATGAATGTGCATTATCGCATGGAGAAAGCTTCGCAGATAAATACCACTCGCAAGGCTTCAAAGGACGAAAGATAATTTTAGGGAGGGTTGATGCGAGCTCTTGTGAAGGAAAAAGCGGTGATAGAAAAGAACGGGATTGTGGGCCACAAACCATCAGACGCAGCACTGGCACAGCGGCAACACCAGGCCCCCCTTTTGCACCCCTTGGCACCGTTGGTGGAGCAGACGATCGGCAGAGTTCAAGAAAACGAAGGGTTCTATTGTTCCGAGGTTTAAGATATCTGTGAATTGTAAACTCGTGTGAGTGCAGGCGGGTTTGAAAAAGCTGCATGTGAGGTGCATGCTGGGCGGTATGTGGAAGCCTGGTGCTTATAACGGGAGGACATGTGAGGTGGTGCTTCTTTTAGATGCGTGTGACTGATGAGGGGTAACGTTGCAGGATAGGAGGCACGCAACAGCAGGTGAAAACGGAGAAATAAAATTGGGGCAAAATTGGAAGGAAAATATAAAAAAGGGGCAGAGGGGCAAAGATACGCACAGACGCAGAAAAGGCAAACACAAGAGAAGAGAAAAGAGAAGGAAAAAGAGAGAGAGAAAGAAAGAAAGACAAACGCAGGGAAACGAAAGCAGAGGGAAAAGAGGGCAGAGATACGCACGTACAGAGAGAAAGGCCAGAACACCTTTATTAGCCAAAAAGACTTGTGAGGCGGCTCGTAAGTAAAGGCGCAACACAGTAACAGCCGAGACGAGTGAAGCGATCTAACAAGTCACAGCCGACGAGCCTAGGAATGTTGGTTCTGGTTAGACGCGCTTTTACGAAGCGTCTCTAACCACCGGCATCCGATTAGTTGTGATGCGAAGCAGTGTAGTGGAGAGAGAATAACGAAGACGAGCCCTTACACTTCCAGGTTTTCAACGCTACCCATGGGTGGGTGCAGCGACTACATTTGAGCCGTCGCACAAGAGTGAGTACCAGACAGCGAGAGCGGGTGGCGAAAGCTGGTGGTTTAAGTACAAGCCAGGCAGTGAGAGGCAAGAGAAAGTGTGGGCTAAGTACCGGCCGGCGAGGGTAAAGTCGTTCATAGCAGCGATGGCAGTGGAGGCGGTTTCAGGGTTGGTGAACTCGATGAAACAGAAACCCTTGTGCTTGCCCGTGCTCGCGTCCTGAGACAAGTTGGGAGGGCAAAAGGGGACAGATGTAGAAAAATGGTCAGGTTGGCAAACAAGAGGAAACAAGAGAGAAGAAACAACGGGAACACACATGTGGGAAGATAACACATACGACGTGGGATGGACTGAGGGGTGGATGGGAAGAGAAGCGCACAAACACACACACACCTTGGGCATGTCGATCTTGGTGATTGGACCTGATAGGAGGGCAGCACAACAAGCGCGCACACAACAATGGCATCAGCGGTGGGTACAAAATCCGTCACGCTCTCCTCATCCAATCCACCCAAGCACCCCAGGTCATCCAAAAAAGAAACACGAGTCTATCAGGCCACTCGAGGAAACCCAGCCAGCAAAGCGCATGAAGCGCGTACCAAAGGGGGAGAAGGCGAGGAGAATGTCTGACTCGGTGAGGTCGTAGAAGATGCTCCCCACGTACACGCGGCACTGGGCTGTATGGCGATGGGAGGAAGGGATGGATGGAGGGACGGAGGGAATGCAAGCACTCAGGCACTCTGGTGAGAATGTCAGACTCGGTGAGGTCGTAGAATATGCTTCCCACGTACACGCGGCACTGGGCTGTAGGGGGGGGGTAAGTGGAAGGCATGAGGATGGAGATGTGCGAGGGATGAGGGCGCAGGAATTCAGACAAGAGTATGTCAGACTCGGTGAGGTCGTAGAATATGCTTCCCACGTACACGCGGCACTGGGCTGTAGGGGGTGTAGGAAAGGAAGGATGGAGGGAGGGAGGGAGTGCAGGTACTCAGGCAAGGGAGTGCAAGCATTCAGGTACTCAAGTTAGAATGTCGGACTGGGTGAGGTCATAGAAGATGCTTCCCACGTACACGCGGCAGTGGGCTGTGGAGGGGGTTGTGGGGGGAATGGGGAGGGAGTGCAGGTACTCAGGCAAGAGAGTGCAGGTACTCAGGCACTCAGGTTAGAATGTCGGACTCTGTGCGGTCGAAACAGAAGCCACTCACGTACACGCGGCACTGGGCTGCAGGGGGGATGCGGACAGGCATAGAAAACGAATGACATCGCTCGGACAGTTTGTAAGGCGCTGCAAAATGCAACATTCGTTGCAGGGAGATGATATGGAGGAAGGGAAGGAGAAGTGGGGGCGTGGGTGTAACGAAAAGGCAGTCACTCAAGAGAGGGCTAGTAACAATGTGACTGCTGCTGGTGAGATTGGATTCGACTCGACTCGACTCAGACCACGATGCGACGCCAGTCACTCACCATTGGACTGGGTCGTTGTGGCCTGCTGCTGCTGCACCGCTGCTGCCTCCGCCATCTTGGCCTGAGCCAGCGCTCGCATCTGCACACGCACGGCGTCAACGCCACAAAGTCAACGGGCAGTCAAAATCCTCAAGTCACCACGAAGGAAACAAACGAATGAACGAAACCAAGCTACCACGCAATTTCCCACACGCGAATTCCGGAACGCGAGTTCTCATTTCAGAAGCACTGCCGCAACAAAATCAGACGAACGCAGTCACCTACGATGATCTGACAATCGCCTACAAGACACCACCGCTGTTGCTGCAGCAGCTGCGCCTGCTGCAAGAGAGCAGACTAAAAAAGCGCTTGCGATTCCGACAATCACCTGCAGAAGCTGCTGTTGCTGCAGCAGCTGCGCCTGCTGCGCCATGGCCGCTCCGGGCATCATCATCGCCGCTGCAGCACCGGGAAGAATGCCCGTGCCCAATGGCAGGCCAGGAATACCGGGAATCGCGGGGGCTCCGGGCAAAATGCCGGCTGCGCTGGGAGTGCCTGGTGACGCGAGGACAGCAGGCGACTCGACTGCGATATGGCAAAAAGGAACGAGCGGGAAAGAGGACGAGATGAAATTGTGCGGGTGGGGAACGAAGAGAAAAAGAAGCGCAAGCAGAAAATGAAAATAATTGCGATACAACGTCGGCGATCGACTGCGTAGCGATTGCCACCGGTTTCAAACCCGGCGTTGAGAAAAGGAAAAATAAATTAAAACACGGAAATCAAATAGACTGTAAATGGAAGAGGAAGCCTGCAGCACACAGATGCGTGCAACCGGCTGCTAAGTACACGCCATGCCACGCACGTTTCTTGCCGTCAGGGCCCTCCGTGTCCCAAAGGCTCTTGCGCTTCCGTCGCCGCTGACCCGTGCCTTCCTCGCCCGCCGGCTTCTCCTCCGTCTTCGCAGCTTCCTTCGCAGGCGATGTCGCGTCTTTCGAACGAGTCTCATCTTTCGCAGACGTCGTCACAGCCTCGGCTTCGGCCTTCGACTCCTCGCCGTTTGCTTCAGCGGGTTCGCCGCTTGCCGGCTCCCCGTTCGTGCTCGCCGGTTCAGCGTCAGGCTTCGTCGCTGCATCGTCAGTAGCAGCCGCAGCGGCATCGTCGCTTGGAGGAGCAGCAGCAGGAGGCGAAGATTCTACGACGGCGTCAGCAGCTTCACCCTCGCTCACCTTAACTTCTTCGGACGTCATATCGCCTAGAAAATAGCAATCGACACCAAGAGACGCGAAAAGAAGAGGTAGCGACCGTAAACCTAACGCACTCGACCTAGAAGATCGTAGATAAGAAAGAAACTGGAGACCTAAACCAGATCTGTGTGAAATACAGCAGACAACAGAAGATGATGACTTCGGATTATCTTGAACCCACAAGTCTGGTGCTTGAAATTGGCTGTTTGTCAAAGAAGATCCGTTTGTGGTTTCGCGCAATATAGTCACCGTTCGGTTTACAGATATGAAAGACATACAGTAAAATGCTCTATTTCGAAGTATCTGGAAGCCTGTTAGCAATGTTCGGAAGCACTTCGCGAAAGGATTATTTACCCGCACTATCTATTTTATCCGATGAATTTCGCAACCGGAGCGAAAAAATGCCAAGTCTTTTTCCCACTACAGTACGTCTCGACTCCTGATCCATTCAGTGGAAATTGCCAGGCGGTTTGGCACGCCCTTCGATCTCAACACGAGCCCTTCGATCTCAACACAAACCCAAATTTACCCATCACCAGCAGTTGAGATGTTCGAGTTCTGGGTAGCCTACCCGAGAAAGGGAGTCCACAAAGTAGATTGTACCACCACCAGGCTGACTACATCGAGATTGTCACCATCTTGCTCATAGGCACGTTTCATAAGAATTCACTTTCATGCAATTATATAAAATGCATAAAATAGCGGTTATATGCGTTTTTGAACGGTTGAGTTGTTTCGTTGCAATCAACCCTTTCCTTTTCATCCTCTCTTTCAAAATTTCTTTTCATTGCTCTGCAGGAGTTTGCAGAACAGCCGCCTGCAACATCTCTCTTGATCTTGCTCTACACTAGCACACCCAGCTCTCAGTCATCACCTGACTAAGCGCCTCGTTCACGAGCCACGCGATTAGATTCTCGCTAAGATGTCGGACTCTTCCGGTTTTCAGAATGGGGGAATTTCTCTGCGTCCCCAGGATGTCAAGAAGTCTCGAGGTAGGTGAATTCTTCAAGCTCGCTGGTTATTAGGGTTTCGCAGATTCTGACCGCTGCTTCGTCTCGCAGATGAATCTGGCGGAGGAATTTCCGGAGGAACAGTTTCGAAAACGTCGCCTGACGGAAAAGGTACATGCGATGACGTATTCCGCTGGTCTAGTCGCCCGTCAGATCTCGGAGGTTTATCGTTATCTTGTAATAACCGACGCTTTTTTCCGCGATGGGTATCATCGTGCAGAGCATTCGTCGCCTGGGGACTCTTCAATGGCATTTTCGCCTCAGTGGCTCACCGCGAAGCACTCCGACTCGCGTAGTCCTGTGGGTCAGGTCAGCGATTCATTCCCTACCCAACCAACGGTCATACACACTGGTTGCTCCCGGAGTTTCCCTGTCTACTGAGCAAGTCGCGCTGATTTTTCGTGGTCGTGCTTCTCCGGTTACATCTAAGCTCCTGCACTGGCTGTCCATCCTTTCTGGATCTTGTATATTCCCGCTGTATCTTGTCTCATTCTACCCGCGTCTTGTCTCATTCTCCCCGCGTCTTGTCTCATTCTCCCCGCGTCTTTTCTCGTTCTCTCAGTATCTCGTCTCATTCTCCCCTTCTTACGTGTGAGCCCTTCCAGGACCCTTCCAAGCCGATGGGATATGGCCGAGGTGTCGAGGCTCCTGGCGGAAAGTGGAAGGTAGGCCGGGGAGCCGGCGCAGGTGCAGGCGTAGGCGGAGGCATAGGCGGAGGCGGCATTTCCGCGGGGGGGGTAGCAGGCGCGCCGCCGGACGAGGCGAAGCGGGAGCGTGACTGGTGGCGCAGCGCGGGCATGGAGCGCGACAGGGCGAGCGACCGCTGGGGAGAGGATGAGCGCGAGCGCGAGAGCGTGGCGGGGAAGCCGCGCAACGATCCCCGCTGGGGATCCATACACGTCCCCCCGTTGGGGGGGGAGAGCGGAAAGGAGGCGGGGGAGGGGGGCGGGTACGTTAAGAAGGAGCGCTGGGTGGATCCGCCGGGGATGGGCGCTCCCCGCCCAGGGCTTGGCGCGGGAGCGGAGGGGGGGAGTGTAGATTACCGCAAGGAGCGTTGGGCGGATAGCGGTACGCGAAGCTTCGACCAACGCCGCGAGACTAAGTGGGGATCGCGCTGGGGCAGCGCGGAGGAGAAGGACAAAGAGAAGGACAAAAGCGTTGTTCACAGCGAGAGCTGGGGGGAGAAAAGCGGGCATGGCGGAGGCGGGTTGCGTGAGCGTGGAACGCCGGAGTCCGCGCAGGGCGGGGGAAGTGCGCGCTGGGCACTGCCGGGGGAGAAGGAATCGGACAAACCTAGGGAATACGAGAGAAGCCGCCCCGCGATCGGCGCTCGAGACAGCGACAGGGGGAAAGAGGCGGACAAAGATGGCGGAGGGGCTGTTGGGGCTGGGGCGGGCGGGGCGGCGGGTCCCGGGGGCGGTAGCTCCGGCGGAGCCGGGGGCGGAAGCTGGACTAGAGACACTACCGCGGGGAGGTCAGAGACGGGGGGAAAGTGGCGCCCGCAGTCGATCGCGGGACGGGGGCGCGGAGAGGCTCCGCCAACGGGGACCGCAACATCCTCCGCCGCCCCCTTTTCCAAGTTTCAGCCAGGGTTTGGGTTCGCGGGTCGCGGGCGCGGAGCCCCCGACGGTGCAGGGGCAGGCGCAGGCTCTTCCGCGTTGGTCGCTGGCGGAGGCGGCGGAGGTTTTGCTCGGGGTCGCGGATTCGGCGGGGGGGCAGGAGGAAGCTGGGATGTTCCGGGGGGGTCCAGGCCGCAGCATATCGGCGCTCCTCCCCCGGAGTCTGGCGGAGCGGGCGCTCCGCCATCCGCGGAGACGTTCAGGTACCCGCGCGCGCGGCTGCTGGAGATCTATCATGCGCACAAACGCGCGCCGGAGTTCAGCGCGGCAATTCCGGGGGAGTGGTCTGAGGCGCCCGCGCTTCTGGGATCGGAGCCGCTGGTGCCCATGGCGCTGGTGGAAGCGAGCGCGGAGGAAGAGGTGAGCGCACGCCGTAGACTGGTATGGTAGGTTACATGTGGAGGTAAATGCCATGTGGGTGGGCCGAGCGCGGTTGTTACCAACCGATTGTCTTGTCATCAACTGGCCCATACTATTATTTTCATATATTCTGGATGTTACCTTGTGTGCCTGTCTGGGCGGGCAGGCGGTGATGGCGGCGATTGAGAGCGGGGAGATCGTGGGCAGTGGCGTGGTGCATGCATCCAGGGACATGTGCGCTTAATTGTTCGCTTGTGATTACCTGACTGATACCATCTGAATGTTTCCGTGTGGCTGTGCCTCTGTGTGGGCGGGCAGGCGGTGATGGCGGCGATTGAGAGCGGGGAGATCGTGGGCAGTGGCGTGGTGCATGCATCCAGGGACATGTGCGCTTAATTGTTCGCTTGTGATTACCTGACTGATACCATCTGAATGTTTCCGTGTGGCTGTGCCTCTGTGTGGGCGGGCAGGCGGTGATGGCGGCGATTGAGAGCGGGGAGATCGTGGGCAGCGGCGTGGTGCATGCATCCAGGGACAAGGACGCGCTGCCGCGAGATAAACCTGGTATGTCTTTGGATCGGCTGATAAAGAGCGGGATGATGAGGGGCGGGACGCAGTTAAACAATACGGTACGTGTTTTTCTTGGTAGTATTTTAAACGCAATGATGTGTCGGTTGGGAACAGGGAGGAGACGGGTAGGCATGGGACCCGAATGAATAACCCAGCTTGAGCTTTTAGACTTAAGTCGACTGAATATTTGGCTCATTACACGGGGGAGGCATGGGACGTGAATAAATAGCTGGCTTGATTTCTGACGACTGGTGGTCTGGGGGCTCTGGAAGCCTAGAAAGGAGCTGGGAGCGCATGGGCTTAGTTGGCATGTTGCCGGGTTTCACATCCCTTTGATGCCTATGGCGTTCATTGTTGCTTCAATTCATTGTACCTCCCCATGCCCTCTTTGCCTCCGGTTTCGATTCCTTCCCCTCACCCTCCGTCTGATGTCTTTGCAGCACAAGAAGGCGACAAACGCCCTCCCACGCATGCACCTGGCACAGCAGCAGCCACCCACCCAACCGACCACCCCACCCAATCTTCCCCAGCTTCACCTCCCCCAGGCTCCACCTCCCTCTCTCCCTCAGCCAAACCCACCACCACAACCCCGTCCGTCCCACCTGAAAAGCTCCTGCTACAGTACCGCGACCCTCAGGGGGAAGTTCAGGGGCCGTTCCCAGGAGAGGACATCATGGGGTGGTACGAGGCGGGGTTTTTTGGACTGGAGCTGCCGGTGAGGCCGGTGGATCCGGGGACGGGGGAGGCGCCGCCTGGGGTGCAGTTTTTGCCACTGGGGGATGTTATGCCGCATCTGAAGCCCTCTGCTAAGGTTCCTCCTGGCTTTGCCGCTGCTGCTGGCGCTGCTGGTGCTGGTTCTGCTAGTGGTGGTGCTGGTGGGGGTGCTGCTACTGCTGCTGCTGCTGCTGGTGCGGCTGCTGCAGGGGCTGCAGCAGCAACTGACGCCACTCGCGCTGCTGCCGCCGCTCCTGCCGCTGCTCCTACCGAGCCTGGCGCTACTGCGGCTGGTGCTGCTACGGGTGCTGCTGCTGCTGCCAGTGGTGCGATGGCGGGTGCTGCAGGGGTCATTCTGGGGGCTATTCACGCTGGCAGAGGTGAGCCTCTTAATTCCTTCAACCAATCTACTTTTACTCCTCCATTGTTTGCTTCTCCCCGCCCCTCTTTGCAACCCCCATATCCTCCCCCCCTTCCCAGCCACCCTCCCGCCCTCCCAACCCCTTGACAATCCTGCTTTTTGTACACTTTCAAATCTTTTCCCCGCTTGGTGCCTGTAAGCGGTAACCCTGTAACATGCAGTGCCTACGTTGCCCCCCGTAGCATTGCATCGCCATGCACAATGGGCAGTGTAACATCACCATGCACAATGGGCAGTGTAACATCACCATGCACAATGGGCAGTGTAACATCACCATGCACAATGGGCAGTGTAACATCACCATGCACAATGGGCAGTGTAACATCACCATGCACAATGGGCAGTGTAACATCACCATCACTGCTATAGGCTCCACAGAGCCATAGACCACTAACCTCTAAACCCTCAAATGCCTAGTTTAGCACACTCAGCAAGTCAAGCATCTTATCCTCCTCCGCCCCATACCACTGTCTCTTTTACAGGCGTGGACGAGCCAGGCGCCCTTTACCAAGCCTCCTGGCCAGCTCCGGGCTCGGAGGAGCTTCGGCCCGAGCCGGGGTTGCATGGGGCGGGAGCGGGTGTGGCTGGAGCGGTGGGCGCTGGAGCGGCATCAAGGTCGTTTTCCAGTCTTGATGCGCTGGCTCAGGTGTGTTTCAAAGTGAACACTTCTAAGTCCCTTACTGTTTTGCTGAAATTGGAGCCGTGGGCGCTGGAGCGGCGTCACGGTCGTTTTCAAGTCTCGATGCGCTGGCTCAGGTGTGTTTTGAAGCCAGGGTTTGGGGTTTATAGTCAGTCTGTTGTGATTGCGAAATCCTTTCTGTGTTTGCTTTGGTCTTCGTCTCTCACCTTCCTTTTACCTTCCTCCCCTGTGTTCTGTGTCTTCATTTTCTGCCCGCTGTTGCGTTCTTGCCACTCAGGGTCATCGCACCCCCTCGCCCTCTCCTGCTCTCTTTGACCAATCGCATCCACCACCACAGCAGCAACAGCAACAGCAACAACAGCAGCAGCAGCAGCAACCGGCGCAGCTGCCATTCACCCACGAGCCGCTACCCTCCCTCCTCTCCCACCTCCTCTCCCATCCGCAGCAACCCCAGCTGCAGCAGATTCAGCAACAGCAGCAGCAGTTGCCGCTGGGACAGCAGCCACAGCAACCACCGCAGCAGCCGCCGCAGCAGCTGCCATCCACCCTCCTGCCAACCCTCCCACCCCCGCGAATCACTCTAGCACACCTCCATCACCCCCTGCACCCGCTTCTGCACCCTGCTGCCGCCGCTACTGGGCTAGGCCCAGCCACGCTCTACCCAGGAGCCGGGGGTCCGATTATAGGGCAGGATGAGTTAAGTCTACGAATGGTAGAGGCGCTGGTCCATGCCGGTATTCCCAAGGATGCTCCGTTAGAGCAGCTGCTGCAGCACCCGCCTATAACGGATCTGCTTATGCGCGTACAGCAGGAGGTGGTGCAGCAGAGGGAGCAGCGGGAGGCGCAGCTGAGGGGGGTGCAACTGAGGGAGGCGCAGATGCGAGAAGCGCAGTTGAGGGAGGTACAACTGAGGGAGGTTCAGATGCGGCTGCAGCAGTCTCTGGCACTGGATACAGGTGCTTCTGGGGGAGGGTTGCCTGGGGGAGTGGGAGTGGCGGGTGCGGCTGGCTTGCCACACGTGTTGGCGAAAGAGGGCGGGTTACCAGAGGTTGTAACGGAGGAAATGGCGTTACAGATGCACCTGTCGTCGCTGCTTATGTCAGGGAGGCCGGTGGATGCTCAGGGAACGCAGCAGATTCAGCAGCAGTTGCAGCAGGCGCGATTCTTGCAGGGGCCCATTCCGGGGTCTGTCCCGCCCCCGTGGTTGCAGCAGCACCCCTCGCTGCCGCCCCCCCCTTTTGGCCAGCCGCTCTTGCCGCCGTTCCCAGGCGCCCCGATTCCTCCCCAGCAGCCTGGGCAGCCGGGGCAGCAGGGGCAGCAGGGGCAGCAGCAGGAGCAGCAGGGGCAGGGACAGCAGGGGCAGCAGCCTTTGCAGCAGCAGTTGCCGCAGATCCCCCTTGGTATGCTGCCCGGTCACTTCCCCCACCCTATCCCACTGCTAGCTCAGGAGCAGCTTCAGCAGCAGCTGATGCAGCAGCAGATGTTGCAGTTGCAGGGAGGGCAGACGCAGGGAGATGGCCAGGCCTCGGCCCGAGCTGACGTGCTGCAGATGCAGCAGCAGCTGTTGCTACAGCAGCAACAGCAGCAGGGGATGGGGCAGCAGCAACCCCAGCAGGAGCAGCCGCAGGGGCAGCAGCCGCAGGCGCAGCAGCAGCAGGGGCAGCAACAGCAGGGGCAGCAACAGCAGGGACAGCCGGCAGCACCGCCACAGAGGCTGTCGTACTCCCAGCTGCTGCGGCAGGACAATCAGGCAGAGGGCGGTAGCTATGCTGCTGTGCAGTCCACCCAGGCCCCTCAGGCTGTAGCTCAGGTACTGGAAGGGTCGGTGGGGGCAGAGCAACAGGGTAAGGGGGAGGATTTGGCTGGACAGCAGCAGCAGCAGCAGCAGCAGCAGCAGCAGCAGCAGCAGCAGCAGCAGCAGCAGCAGCAGCAGCAGCAGCAGAAAGTGGGAGGGGAAGGGGATGGACAGGCGTTGAAGGGCTTGGCAGATCAGGGGGATGGGGCAGGGAAGGGAGATGAGGTGGCGGCTGCTGGGGATGCAGATGCGGAGGTAGGGCAGGGAGAGGCTATGGGCGTTGGTGCTAAAGGCAAGAAGGAGGAGGCTGTTAACGAGGATAAGACAGGTGCGGATGATGCGGATGAGGGTTCTCAAACGCTTTCAAAGAAGGAGCTTAAGAAGTTGAAAAAGAAGAAGCAGAAGGAGGAGCAGTTGCAGCTGCTGCAGGAACGGAAGGAGAAGGAGAAGGAAAAGGAGAGGGAGAAGGAGAAGGAGAAGGAGAGGGAGAAGGAGCGGGAGAAGGAGAAAAAGGAGAAGGAGAAAGAGAAGCAGAAGCAGAAGCAGCAGCAGAAGCAGCAGCAGCAGCAGCAGCAGCAGCAGGTTGCCACCACAGAGCCAAGCACGAAGCCCCTCTCTTACAGCGAAAAGGCAGCAGTAGCAGCAGCGGTAGGAGAAGGAGCATCACCAGCAGCTGCTGCTTCCCATGGTGCCGCCTCCGATACCCTTCCCAAGCCATCCACCCCACCCCTCCCGGCCTGGAAAGCCCCCACTGTCCCCGCAAAGTCCCTTGCACAGATTCTAGAGGAAGAAGCAGCAGAAGCAGAGAGGCAGAGGGAGGAGCAAGAGCGACGAATCCAGGCAGCCATTGCAGCAGGAGAGGTGATCGGCTCTGGGGGGTTTGGCAGCAGCAGTGGGGGAGTAGGAGGGGGAGGAGGGGCCACAGTCTGGGGCAACGCTGGGTCCGCTGTTGCTATGTCTCGGAAAAAATCCCTTAAGGAGATTCTTGAAGAGGAGGCTGCTGCGGCAGCGGCAGCGGCAGCTGCAGAGACCTCAGCAGCTAGGAGCGCGGTTACCGCTAGTGCAGTTCTTTTCCCCCAGCCTCCTTCTTTGGAGCCGAGAACCGGGGCTAGTTTGTTTGATCCCCTCAGCAGCAGGGGGTATTCTAGTCCGGGTGGGGCAGGGGTTGCTGCAGGCGGGGTTGGGAGCGGTTCAGGGCGGTTGGGAGGAGGAGCAGCAGGAGCAGGCTCAGATGTTTCAGGTGGTTTGTCAGGTGGTTTGCGTGACCCGTTGGCAGAGGAGATTCTTGGATCCGCTTCCTCTATGCTTGATGATGCAAGGGTAGATCTGACAAAGAGCGAGTCCGGCTCGTCTGCTGCTGCTGCTGCTGCTGCTGCGGCGGCAGCGGCGGCTGCTGCGGAAGTGGACGATTCAGAGTTTGTGGAGCCGAAGGAATCGAGGAAGAACAAGAAGAAGGGCTCCAAAGGGAAGGGCGGTAAATCGCCTCCCTCGTCCTCCTCTGCTGCCTCTGCTGCCGCCACTGAAGTTGCTGCTGCTGCTGCCCTCCCTGCTGCTTCTCTCCCTGTCGCCACCACCCGGTCTGCTTCTGCTGGTGCCTCAGCTTCCCTTTCCGCAGCAGCGGCAGCAGCTGCGGCAAAAGCAGCAGATGAGATTCCTGCTCCCCCTGCCCCTTCCCTGGCCGATTTCCTTATGGTTCCAGGGCTGA